TACAAAATCAGCATCTGTATTGTAAAAATTGCCAGAAAATTCTTCAGAAACATTGTCAAAGTGAACAATAATTCTATTCCCGCAATGTATTACGACATTCAAGATAGCACAAACAGAAAAGGACCGGGTGTGGTCCTACTTCATCTGAATAGATAATGTAATTTAAAAAATTCTAATCAAAATGTAGTCAAAATTTAATCTTTCTTAATTTAATTTGTACAATACTCATTTAGGCCCCTATTATTTCACTTCATGAACTCTTTTATATAATTTACATGTAAAAATAACTTTAATTATTTTTACATGTAAATTCCCTTTAAGAAATAATCCATATGTGTCACCATCCATGATTCACAGTACAAATCACTTTGTCAGTATCTAGAAGTTCAGCAACTGTATCACCATCTAGGACCCACAGATTAAGTTCATTCCATCAGTACTTACAATAAATTTAAATTCACAACTTAAACCCCTCCCATCCACCAATGCCTGACTTGCTAGGTTTTGTACTTGCCTTATAGGTTCCTCACTGGTTGCACAAAGTTTGGAATAGTTAGCTCCGCCTCTTCAACCTGTCTCCATATGATTATGCTTCTCTTTGACCATTTGGACTTAAGACGCCGAGCAGCACGCCTGCATTTAAACATCTATGCCATTAGTTGCTAAACAGTAGCTCCTCAAGTATTTACACCCATTGCATCGATTTTTCGGAGAAACTTCTAAAGTTTATGCAAAAGCTTATCTATGCACACACTGAAAATTTTTATTCTCAGCTAAGAACTTTTCCACATTTCACTCCATATAAAAAATTATGCGCAGCACTATGTTGCTATACTCAGGATGAGGCTAATGCCTAGGAGCATGAAATAAGTGAAATTGCACCTAAGTTTTAGACTTGACAGTTAAACTCAGAGTTTAGTTTAAGGCTAATATATGGACACTGATACATATTTCAACTTTCACTGATGCTAGCAGAAGTGAAAATGGTTATATTCCAATAGCTTTCACATCAAAAAATGAATGATTGTGAAAAGTAGATATGAGCTACACACCAACTAATAATATTGTTTTATCAGCTTCATTATTTAAATATTTATACATGGCAAAGTACGAGAGCTATTTGTCAAAGAATAAGGATACCTTTATAGAAAGACAGAAACAGTTTGCATTTATGCTATGTATAGAAAAAACCACAAAACTAACCATGCAACCAGCCCATTTGCCTGGATTCAAATCCAGGAGGAACTACCAGTATTCAGCAATCTTCAACCACTTAGTCACTGATGGGCTATTGTTTTTTAAAACAAGCACTGGGATTACATCTCTTTCAGGTTCACTCTTCTCAGCCTTCAAATGACCGACAAAATTTCTTCATTTATTTACCATTAGTGAAATTTTATTGTTATATCAGAAACCAACAGGTATGCTAAGCAATGCTTCACCTATTTCAAAAAGTTAAACGAAAAGACAAATGAATCATGGGCATGGTTGGAACCCAGCTGATCCTATAGAAGAGTAATTTTAAGTCGTACTTTTGCAGTGGGGCTAAGGAAAAAAAAAAAAAAAAAGCCATCTTGAAAATAACCAGGAACACATATTTTTAGTGTTGTAAGTGCAATGGTCAAACTCTTTCTAGGATTTCACCATTTTTAATGATGAAGGTGGTAATGTAAGAAATGTAAAAATAGATTTTGCAAGTTGCAAAATGTTTGCAATACTCTTCTGGAAAATTTTCAAAAGATTTGTACACCAGGGAAAGAACTTTTAATTAGATGAGTCTAAAGCAGATGCCTTGTATTTAGGCAATATATAAAGGGTAAACGATATAATTACAGTTTATGAGTGAAGCAGTTAGGTACAGAATATAGTCCTATATTGTTACAAGATGGAACATCTGGATTGGTGATGGTATAGACTGAAGCACCTACACATTCAAGTAGGCTATCAGGTATTGCCAGACCTTGCTAACTACTAAGATTCTGACCCAGATGAAATTTTGAGATGTTTAAAAAATGTGATCTGAGGATCTTCCACCTGTTTCCTCACCACTAAACCGCTCAAGAGGATTTTCAGCTCATGATATATTTTGAGTGCCAGCCAGACACTACATACTTATGAACATCCATGTCTTCTCCAGTATTAGACCCCAGGCCCTTCAATACAGCAACCAGTGACACTGAGCGCTATTACATCTGGACAGCTTTTGATTATGACCGGCAGAAAGCACAGTAATGATCTGATTGATAAAATATTAAACTGCAACATACAGACAATTATTACCCACATGTTATTCTGGCAAATAAACTGCCTGAAAATGAAATGTTAAGAAATATCTTTCAAAAGATGCTGTCAACACAAAGCTGTAACCAGGCAAAATAATCATGTACAGAAAGCAGCAATTAGGTATGTTAAAACAGAAAAACAAATATCCTAATGCTAAGCACTAAGCATTCTGATGCATTAAGAACCCCAGTCAACAGTTATTGAAAAGATAAATTTGTCACCAAAACAAATTGGATTTTGGACAATAATAAATAAATTGGGGCATCAAAAAACTTCATCAATAGATTTCACACCACTTGCCATTGCTCAATTTCTATACTACAACAGAAAAGTTCAGCATTTCATATGACTATTTCTAATGCCTACGGGTTGTATGTTGAAATTAAAGGAAAATAACTGAAGATTTGTTTTCATGACAAAATTCTTCTTTTCATTGGTAATCTAGTGAATGTAAGGGTGTACCAGTTACACGCTCCATTTCTAAAATAATGTATTATGCAATTATCACAGCTACCAACCTTGAAATGTGAAAAACTCTGAGCTTCTGTGAGGTTTTGAAGCTGCACAGCAATGGCCTTTCAAAAGAGCTCCAAATTTACTGGAATTCACTTTATGACTCATAATTCCTGTTACTGAAGTATTGATATGATTCTGATGTAAAATATATTAATATTTAATTAAATTTTATGCTTTTTGGCTACTTTCATTTTGTAATTTTATTGAACTCTTATACTCAGAAATTTTGACTAGGAAAGGAAAGCTTTTATTTATTACAATATTTATTCCTTACAATATTTTTAAATATGATTAAAATAAAACTGATAATTAATATACAACTACTGTGTGGAAAAACTTAGTAATGTATGTAATATATTGATGTAAAACAAAATTAAATATAAATACTAAATGATTAAACAGAATCTTCATAAAAAGTTCTACCATCATCTACAGTAGCTTAAGATAATTTATAATCAAATAAAAATTACAAAGAAAAAGTGAACGCTGAAAATCACTAGGGGTGGCGAATGGAATTTGTACAACTTAAGTTTCATTATTTCGATAAATATCATGACTGGAAAAATAGGTGATCTACCAGAAGAGAAGAACAATTTTACTGGGAGAGCTGGCAGCTATGACATACAAACAATGCTAAACCAAATGAAATGGATAATATGCTGTTTGGTTTAAATACTGAAAATGGGAAAAAACATTATCTGCAATAGCAGCAAAAGTTATAGCAATATGGAAGTATGTCATCTGAAATTTTTATGAAACGCAGTCAAAAGTCGTTAATCCGGACACGTCGGGACTTCGGCGATTCCGGATTATCGATTTTTCCGGATTACAGATCATCAGTTTAAATCTGGTAAGATGGCATGGAGAAATTATAAAATTAAAAATATGAAACCATAATTTATGAAATAAAGAACAATTATGATCTAAAGGGTATCAAAATTTACAAAAAAAAAAAAAAAAAAAAAAAAAAGCTTAATATTTATTTGTTTACTTTATTAAACATTTCTTTCAATGTAAGTTGTTTAAGTTGATTCGTTTTTTATGTGACAATACATTCTCTTTAATTCTATAAACAGACATAATTTCTTGTTCAATTACAAAGTTTCGCTGTTCAAGTCCTATAATTGCTGCGTCGAGAATACCGACTAATTTGTCAGTCGAAATTTTTTCGTTTTCAATAACCTCTGTCACTTTCTTAGCTATCGGAAGCAAATTATAATGACGAAGAATTTGATTTAAATCATATCAAAGATGGAGTACATCGAGATGAAATACTACTTTTAGTAAGGAATTATAAGCCAAATAAAATAAAAACATCTGCCCTGAAGATAAGGATAGTGCTGACAGATCAACTTCCAATTCATTGCGCACTGCGGCGTTAAAGATAAACAAAGGATATGCCCTTTATCCATTTTTTGCAGCAATTCCACTTTTTGTTTAATGGTCTTTGAAACATACTTTCGCTTTGTAGATCCTTTACATATTAGTAAATATATATCAGAAATTCTATTTAACATAATCGAAAGTTCAAGCTTACTTTTATAAAATTGCTCTAACAGTCTTCAAAAAATAATAAGCCGAATCCAATTCAAAGATTAAGGAACAATGCAATCTGCAATATTAACTGAATTAGATAATTTTAGCTTAGCTTATACAGTCCGTTATACATTAAACACGCATTCGTAAACGTATTTTACGCACTCGCACACACATATTCGTAGTCGTAAAGGTCTTACGCGCATGCATCATAGCGACGCATGCGCAGAAAGTATGTATCTTTGAGGTCCGGATTATGGGTGTTCGAATTAACGACTTTTGACTGTATAACAAAAAATCCACTACCAGTGCAACATATGCATATCAAAATCTGCATTGTGTATATGTACCTTGCACTGAAAGAATCAACTCTGAGAAAAGTTATAATATTTTGCTATATTTTAGCTCAAAAATTTTTTGAACACATGTAATATTATTTCATTGTTCCTGTTAAACAAAGTTAAACAAAAAAGTTTTCCATAATCAGTGCCAGAGGCAGCCAAAAGCCATATGCCATCCTAATGATGAATGTGTTAAATTTAATATTATCAATTTTCACATGTACATATACTCAAAATAAAAGTATTTCATTCTGAAAAAAACTGAATCCTACAAAAAAAAAAAAAAAAAAAAAAAAAAAGGTTATTAAATTGTTGTAATATTAATGAACTTTGAAGTTCTTTTATTCAAGCATTCATTTATCCGTTTGAACAGATTATGTTACCAACTAAAAAGTGAAATTGAACTGTTGCCTCCTATTCCAAAAACATTCAAATGATGTTTCAGCAAACTCTTCTTTTAACTGGCAACTTTCTACAGGTTGTAACCAAGCCTTTTTAAGGCACGCTTTTGATAGGTAAATTCCAAATACCTGGCGACACAGAGAAGTCCTTCTTTCATAATTTATTTTCAAACAACTAGTCACGTTCTTTCTGAAGAATCACTAATCTATTTATCATAAAATCTGAAAAGTCTGCTTGGAAATGCAGGACGAGCTCTACCTCTTCCACGACTCTGAGCTGGTATAAGAGAAGGCCTTGAGAGATATGATGGATAGCCTGGTCTGGTAACTGCATGTGAAACAATAGAGCCATCAGCTTTAGCATAGCAGATAGAGTAACCAGATTCTTTCACAGTTGGAGATGATGATTCAATATTAATACTGTTATTAAGTGCCTGAATTGCCAACTGCTTCTCTACAAGCTCTTCTGGCGTTTCAATCCGAGTTGGAGGAGATGGAGCTTGCACTGTTTTTATTACCTTTAAACACTTGACAGGTTGAGGTTCAAGCTTATCTGGAACTGCAAGTTTTACTAATGTGGCTGAAGATGTAGACGCTTCTAGTTTTCTACCAGTATCTTTCAGAGGTTCAGTCATGCCAGCAACATCAGATAAAAGAGAGAGATTGCAAACTTGCTGATCAGATGATTCACCAGTAGTATTACAGCTATTTGTAGATGATATTGTTTGAGGTTTAGAACTTTTAGTAATCAACTGGATCATTTTTGTAGGCTGTGATCGACTAACTGGACTAGAAACCAAAATTGTAGCTGAATTTGCAGAGGGCAAAGTAATTATAGTTGATTTAGTAGGAGTCATGGTAGATAGCTGATTCCCAATTAAACTAACACCAGTAATACTCTTTAAATTTTGCACAGAAGCAGGTGAGAGTACTTTATCTTGTGGGGAGAATGTAGTTCTCAAAGTAGATGCAGAAGACACTGACACACATTTTGATTCCACAACTGATGCAGTAGTTGGCTTAACAAATGCACTGGAAATCCTTGCTGGAGATAAAACAGTATTTTCATTCAGCGGGTCTGATATTGGCAGAAAACTTCTTTCACTTGGAACCACATTTTGATTCAAATGATCAACTGCTAAACTAGGCACTGATTGGGTTTTACTCGCAGGTTCAGATTCTCTGGCCTCCAATTCTGCCAGTGCATTTTCAGTCTCTTCTGCCGATACAGTATCCTCTGGCTCTGTTGGTGTCAAAGGTCTTGGGAGAAAGCTACTGTCTCGACCAAATGCCTTTTCAACATCAACAGGATCATTTTTCTTTGGTAAAATATGCACAGGAAATGGAACGGAAGATTTGGTATCAGAAGAGGGCATTTTTGTAGGTACAACTGAATCAGACCTTTCTGTCTCCATACTGCATATTTTGTTTGAAGCAATTTCTTTGTTGTTCAGACTGCTTCGACTTTTCGCTGTAGCGAGACGCTTACGCCATGTACCAGTAGCAGGTCTTCCAATTCTTTTGACAGATATCTTTTTAACTAAATAAATAAAAATTAAATTAAATGGTACTTATTTTTTTATTTAAAGATTTTTTTGGCAAAAACAAAGTTCTTGTAAGTATAGAAACCAGTATCAAATATAAATTTCAACAAAACTGCAAAACTTAACTATTCATTAAATAAATAGTAATAATAGACAATAGTAAAATATTTCAATGCACTGAAAAATTAAGAAAAAGCAAAAATATTCTGTAGCCCAAATGGTTTTGTCTTAAGGGTTATTTTTTAAGTTCTGCTGTGCTTCATGGGCACCTGGTGTTTATGGTTGGATACTAATAATTTCATGAAAATATGCGATTTTACTGGATGACTTTGTGTTTCGAAATAAGAAAAATTAATATGAACATAAAGCAGAAATCCTGCATAGGATCAAACTATTTTTATTTCGACTAAGAAAATAATGAAAAGCACTTACTAATAAACTTGTTACTAATACATGAAAATTTAGCTGATAAATTGTCAAATATCTCAATAAGTCAATACTCCATTAAATCATTAACTTCCTTTTCAAATATCTGTTTATTAATATTCTCTGAAAACTTATAAAATTTAGCATATATTCTGGTTCACAGTGTGCTAGTACCATATCGTTTTTCACATCTTCTCGAATCACCATATTTCTGTGTTTGCTTCTTATTATTTTAAGTTCCAAAGAAGCCTGCTCGCAGAGGTATTTTGACCCTCAAAATGCTTTCACTATTAGTGTATACCTAAATATGTTTTTGTATTTAAAAGGTACATTAGTTTAGAAACTTCATCACTTTTATTTTCTATGCTTTTGAGTGTTACATCAGTACAAAGAGTTATAATCTACTTCAGCCTCTGATTTGGTAATAAAACTATTTTTTTTTTTTTTTTTTCCATTAATGAAGTCACTTCTGTTATGTATTTGCACGAAATGACTTTTGTGAACAATAAAATGGGCTTCATAGAAAACATATTTTGGAGTCTAAATTCTGAAGTAAATAACAAATGGTTTTCAACATGCTCAGATGGATCATACTCCAGGATAAATTCCCAGTCTAGAATGGCTTCCGAATGTGTGTTTTCCTTTTCCTCGTAACATAGTAAAGGTCACTGTCATTTTTAACCATGAGTGTCGCATTGGTTAAAAATGCCAAGTCACTCCACGTCATCCAATTTTTGGCCATAATTGTGTTTGGATAAAAGGAAAGCTTTAAACTGAGACAGCTTTCCAACAAATCTTGTTAAAACTTTTCCTGGACTTACCCGCCTTACTTCTCCATGGTAAATTACAGTAAACTCTTGCCAAACGTGAGTTAAATCACTAATATATCACACGTATGGCAAAATCATGTTCCATAAAGTTAACTTCCTATGAAATAAATCCTTTAGGTATTAAAAATGTATGTATAATTTACACAAGCCTCAATATTACTACTGCTTATTAAGTAGACACATGATAGAATTTTCTTTTTTAATAACTGGTGATTTTTGCTTGGAACAGTGTCTGACCTAACCAGGGCTCGTCAACATTTCTGCACACAGAAATTAAGTACTTTTAAGGACCATTAACGAAAAAATTAAGGAGCAAATGGGAACTGAATAATTTCAATTAAAAATATTATCTATGCCTGAATTTCACTTTTGTAATACATTCCTAAAAATAAAATAGATCCTTAAGCAGTATGCATTATTACTAAACATGAATTAACATAAATATTAATAAGTTTGAGAATAAAATAAACTTTATGCAATTTATCAAGTAGCATTAAATATTTTACACTTAATAATTGGACATATTTGAAAGAAGATAAGTGACATTTATGTTTCACTAACAGTTAGCTTTATGTTGATTTTTGTATGTATCATTTTGTCACAAACTTGGTCAGTATAGAGGTTTAGTAAATAGCAGGTAGATTTTATGTCAAACGGCATAGGTTAAAATAAGAAGTAAGATCATAATCAGCATGATTCATTACAAAAGACTGAATGTTGTCACCACTGTTGCTTGTCTAGAGAGAGATCTGATGATTAGAACAAACCTGAAAAGCTTTATGTAGGCACGGTTGGTAAATTTTGAAAGCTAGTTAGGCTCTGTTTGATGCAGTTAGTGTCATAGCTTCCTGTAGAGCTCCAGAAGTTCTAACCCGTTTAATATACTTTAAGGTTCCAATAAGCCATTAAAGCACAAGTGGTAATCAGTTTTTTTGTATTATTTTAAGTCTCACTAGATGCAAAGGATATGTTTTACTTGAATTTTTACATTTTTGTGTTTTATCTTGGGACCACAGTGAGTATTAATGAAAGGCAATAACTCGCTTTAATATGTAGAGATAATTTTTAAGGGTAAGCAGTTAGTTATAAATAAATAAATTAGGTAATTAGATAATCTTAGTCATTGTGGATTTACATGGCCACTATTAAATTTTATTTTTTAACAATATTTGTTAAAAAAGCCCTATTAAAATCTAATAAAATTTCGCAGTTTAAAATACGTGTAATTTATGACATTGATTCTTAAATGATATTAGGATAATTACACATTAAAAACTACAAAATATTTATGTTTTGTAACAACAAACTCAACAAAATATTTATCCGTCATTTTAATATGAAGCCTTCCCAAACATTTTGACTAGTTTATATCGATTTCTTTCTCTTTAAGCATCTTTTCTAAGAATTAGGGATTTGTCTCAATATGCAAACCAATGCCGTTGTTAGTTTCTGCGTGCTTTATCTCCAAACTTGTCAACCTCTCCACAATGTACCTATGAGGGTTTACTTGATCTGGTAAGAGTTAAATAGTCCAAAACCCCCGACAGACATGAAGCAAATTATCGCTATGCCTGAAAGTAACTACAATATCAGACAATGGTTTAAATAAGCCTCTTATTTAAAAAGCACTTACAACATAAAGGCATGTTCTGATGTAAACAAAATCAATTACAGCTCACGGTGACATAATTAAACAAGAACATTCAAATTCAAACTCAAAATGTGGACAAGTGGTCAAAGATTATACAATTTAATTTTAATTTAATCTCACTAATGAAAATGAGGAAATCATATGAAGAAATAGAAATGGGAAATTAGAGTAAAGGCTGAAATTATAAACAATTGGGTAATTTACATAATAATAACTGCACATATCTTTGAAGAATAATTTTCTTTGTGTAATCAGTTTATTTCTTCAACACATTTCCTTTTCATTTTAGAATTTTTGGATTTAATTAAGGATTTTGGTTATTCTAAAAAACATTAAATATACTTAGAATGTATAGAGTGGCTAATTTTATTTCTTTAGTAATATGAACATTCAGAAGAAATATATATGGTAAAGGCCAGTTACAGAGCTGGTGTCGCAGAATTTTTAGAATTTAGTGACACACCGAACAACAAAAATCTAGAAATGGCAAAACTTTTAGAATTTAGAAAGGCACTAGGCAGCAGAATTAGGACCCACAGAGACTGCATCAGATGGGAAAATACCTAGTTCAGCTCTGTGTATGATGCATTAAGACATATTAGAATGTAGTCATGGTTGGCAAGTGTTGAAAGTCAGTCAGGCTCTGTTTGATGCAGTTAGTGTCGTAGCTTTGTGTTGAGTTTCAGGGGTTGTAACCCAGTCCAATATACTTTAAGGCTCCAATATGCCGTTAAAGCACCAGTGGTGATAAGTTGTTTTGTACTATTTTAAGTCTCACTAGATGCAAAGAATAAGTTTTACTAGGAATTTTTACATTTTTGTATTTTATCTTGTGACCACAGTGAGTATTAATGAAAGGCAATAACTCGCTTTAATATGCAGAGATAATTTTTAAGGGTAAACAGTTAGTTATCAATAATTAAATTAGGTAGTTTAATAACATTAGTTATTATGGATTTACATGGCCACTATTAAATTTTATTTTTTAATAATATTTGTTAAAAAACCCTATAAAAATCACAATCTAATAAAATTCACAGTTTGATTCTTAAACAGTATTAGGATAATTACACATTAAAAGCTACAAAACATTTATGTTTGTAACACACAACAATATATTTATACATCATTTTAATTTGAAGCCTTCCCACACATTTTGGCTAGTTTATATCGATTTCCTTCTCTTTAAGCATCTTGTCTCTATATGCAAACCAATGATCTTGATAGTTTCTGTGTGCTTTATCTCCTAACTTGTCAACCTCACCACACTGTGCCTATGAGGGCTTACTTGATCTGGTAAAAGTTAAATAGTCCAAAACTCCTGACAGACGTGAAGCATATTATCGCTATGTCTCAAAGTAACTACACTATCAGACAAAGGTTTAAATAAGGATCTCTTTTAAAAAGAACTTAAAACATAAAAGCATGTTCTGATGCTAACAAAATCAATTACAGCTCACGGTGAAGTAATTAAACGAGAACAGTCAAATTCAAACTAGAAATGTGGATTAGTGGTCAAAGATTATAGAATTTAATTTAAATTTAATCTGGCTCAGTAACTCTATCATATGAGGAAATGGAGAAATTATAGTAAAGGCTGAAATCATAAATAATTGGTTAATTTACATAATAAAAACTGCACATATCTTTGAAGAATAATTTTCTTTATGCATTCAGTTTCCTTCTTCAACACATTTCCTTTTTATTTTTGATTTTTTGGATTTAATTAAGGATTTCTGTTATTCTAAATAACACTAAATGCATTTAGAATGTACAGAAAAAGTGGCTAATTTTATTTCTTTAGTAATATGAATATTCAGAAGAAATATGAAATATATATGGTAAAGGCCGGTTACAGAGCTGATGTGGCATTTAGAACTGTCACTGGAAGCATTTAGAAAGGCACTAGGCAAGATAATTTAGTATCTACAAAGATTGCATCGAGTGGGAAAATGCCTAGTTGAAATTAGAGAGATTCAGGAGGCGTTAAGAAGACTGAATACAAGCAGCACTGAAAAGAAAACAATCAAGTGTCGGAATTGTCGAGTGGAAGGACATGTCTGCAGGAATCGTCTCGTGAACTAAGAGC